GTTCATCAATATCTATCAAAGCATTAGCCAACTTTTGAACTTCAGGTTTTGTAATATTCTGTGCAAAATGTGGAATGGGGTCATGTATATTTGGGGCTTGTTGCTCGTTTTTCCTTTTTTTACCCACAACATCTTTTTCGTATGTGGCCTTTTTAAATGCCATGTTCTCGTAAAGAACAGGCTTGTCAGATTCATCTTTCCTTGGTACATGCCATTGCTGTAGTAATTGTGTACAAGTGGGCTTATCAGGGATTTCTGTCATGTCTAATTGTTTATATTCAATTACTTGAAATAGCAGAGCAACAACATGTTTGCACTGCCCATCTTTCCCTGCTGTACATGTACAGTTGATGTGCACAACTTCCACATTAGCTTCATTTAGATGAACATATACAGTGTACACATTGTTTTTCATAGCAGCATTTACACAGCCTTTAACTAGGAAACACGTCATGTTGCCTTTTGTGACATTTTTTTTAACCTCAACTTGCCCAACATATTTATCTTTAAACAATTGATAACCTAGTTTCTTGTGTTTTTGAGCACCAGCACCAGCATGTTCAGTTCCAAAATGCTTAGTTAGTAACTCATACGTAAATGATGGGAGGCCATGTAAGTCCCTTGTCCACCTTTTCAATTCTGTAGCAGCATTGTTTGCCTCATGTGAAGTGCTTGTTTCACCCTCCATTATATTATTTAAAATATTTTATTTGCTTAGCCTTAGCCCTATGTGAGTTGTTTAATCCTATAGTTATTTATATCTACCTAATTTTAAATTGACTTCCTATTAATTTAATTAAAATAATCCTATCTAATGTTTATATGCTAGCTAAAAATGTATTAATACAAGACTTTGCTAATTTAAATTAATAATTTATATGTAAATATTATGTTTTAACTCACGAGTATTTTATCGAACTAGAATGAAGGATAAGAACCAAAGCAAACTTCAGCTCGAGGACAAAACAACAGCAGAAAACGATGAAAAACACTTTCAACTTTATATTTTCTTGTTGCAGCTAGAAACAACTCATTTAAATTCAGATATTTTCGCGCCAAAACATCTTCAAAACATTTTGTCAGGCTATGGCTGGCAATGGCAAATTCGAACAAAATTTTGGCTAACATTTGTCATTTTCATGAAGCTAAAAATGGCATTTTTGAAGCTATAGGATTAAAATAACCTTGAAATCTAATGAGATTAACTATCGATTGGGCTTATTTTTCAAAAAAATTTAGCCGATCGCCAGTGGAAAAGCTAACTCACCTGTTTTGGTTGATGTGGTCAAGTTTTCGCGAGCGAATTTAGGGGATGCGTGTGTACAACTGGTCGTCTTCACAACAAATTTTCTTCGCGACTAATGAGCCGAATTTCTTTAAATTTTCTACATGAGCACTGCCAAACACCCTCGTTATTTTCCACACAAAATTGCTATTGATCGAAGCCGAATAGAGTAAAAAATCCGTCGTTGTTTCCTCCCGAAAGAAATCGCTCGCTCATGCGACAGCCATTTCGTTCGAAAGCAACCTACAGCCTCCTACCGTCATGCTTAGCGGGCATCGCTATTACGCAAGTGATCAATTGCCATAAAGGGAGATACAATATATACTGTACACACATAGAAATTGCAGGCTTATATGGATGAGAAGTTTGGCATGATCTTTCCATCCACCAATTGTAATAAAAAATAAACATCGAAAATCACCTGTATTAATGACACTCTATTTTCCAAAAAGTTCTTGATTGCCAGCAACTGTGTTTCATCCAGCAAGCTCTGCGATGTTCCCATAGTTTCTTGGAGGTGCTTGAACTGCTCAATGGGGCTGAGTTTCTGACCTTGCGGAAATGTGAAATCATAACCGCTCGGTTTTTTAAATATAATGCTCCAGTCACATTTCTGTTCCTTATCATGCGTATATTTTGGTGGATCCGACTTTTTTGCAAAGACCAACTCATCCACAAGAGGCATATCGTCTAACAAGTATACACATATTCAATTCAGTTTTTAATTAACAATTATTCGCCGAAGGCGAGGTGATTATCGGAGATTATTCGCCGAGACGAAGTCGAGGTGAATATTCCCCGATATATCAGCGAGCCGAGGCGAATAATTGTTTCAGTATTTTAAACACAAGCGTTTGTGTTTTTTGAGACTGAATTTATTTTAATTTCGCTTATTTCTTTGTCAGTAAACTTCCACAAAACGGGTAGCCGCCATTTTGAAAATTTCTGTTATGTTATATTCACCTGTAGGTGTATATAACAGCTTATTACGTCAAATTTGACCAATCAACGTGTAAGATTTGTTATGTTCACTTGTCCAAAAATATTAATTAATTATATAAAAAATATTGCGGTCGGCTATACTTTACAGTATGTATATTATTTCAAAAACTCATTAATAATTCATGAGGAAAACACAAAGAAAAATCATATGCGTGTCGTATCTTTATATGTGATAGAGATTTCCCATAAATTTTAACTTTGATTTTCTCGACTTACACAACGTATTTTTTGAAAATTACTTTGCCAATGAACTTACTAGCGCGATCGTTTTTGAAACAATTTAAAATATTCGCGTGCATGCAGTGCGTGTTTTATCAGACCTAAAGATACTCGGCATTGCCTCGTATCTTTATATCTGATAAAACACTGCTGCTCATGTTTTAAATATTGTAGTACTTAAAACACGAGCAGGGATGCTTTATCAGATATAAACATTCACAACAGTCCAGTGTTTTATAACGCATAAAGCACATACTGCGAATGTTTTAATTAAACGACCAAGCATCTTATGAGTTTATTCGCCAAGTATTTTTTTTGAAAACAAAATTGTCTAAACCGAGAAAATCAAACCTACAATTTACGTAAATTAACATGATTTTTTTATCACATATAAAACCACAATTGCGGTAGTAACTAATTTCCTTTGTCTTTTCCTCATGAATTATTAATATACTTTTTTTTTAATTATACATGACCAAACCCTTTGAAAATTGTGGAATCAAAAGATTTGATTAAATGCAATTGAAAATGAGTTTTCATATTATAATGGTTGATACGTGAACATTTATTTCACATGTACGTAAAATTATGTGGAATTGACCATGTGCTCTTAACTGACCTTTTTTATGCATTTTTTTAAAGCGATCCATGCATGGACCAAATGCACTGTAAAACGTGGGGCTTTCGGCCATCAATGCGTGGTCACCTACAAATTTAAAGTTGACTGATTTAATTAAAATAAACAGCAACACATCATTTAATGCCGTGCTCGTACTACATACAGGTTCAGTCTGTATGTTGTATCAGTTGGGCTCCTCTCGTTCCTATATTTTTAATTCTTGAGATAGTCAACGGAAATAACAAATACCCCCAATTATGGCAATACTTCATGAGTGCTGAACATTGGGAAGTTAAATGGTGCATGGCGTTACGGTTAAGGTCAACAATCATGAAAACAAAGGAACTAATAGTTTTTGGATTAGCCGCTATATCAATATCTCATTGGTTAATTAAGGACAAAAAATAGGACAATAATCCTAATAGAAAGTGCATTATCTGAAAATCACGGCCTCTTGGAGGCAGGGCCTGTAAGCTTCATTCTACTCAGTCTATTGGGTAATCCGCCACTGACTAATTCCACTCGTTCTCTGTCTATTTTCCCTATACAATATGCCACCCGGAGAATGGCTAACAATTAAGGACTTCGCGCAACGAATGGCAAAAGCTATAGAGCCCCGTATCCATCTTCAATATTATCAAATCTATATAGCGAAATACAACTTAACTTATATATGAGCACAAACACTATACAAGTGTCAATCATACATATCTACAATCGTACATACAATCATACATATTTCCCTCCTATCCTAAATAATCCCAACGATCGAACTTTTATCCATAATTGTTGATATTTATGTCTGCACTGTTATTTTGAGGGAGTTAAAATAACTCCGGAAACGGGGGTTAGCAAAAAAGGTTCAAAATAATCCGTTTTTTGGGGTTACAAATAACTCCATTTCTGGGGTTAAAATGTAACTCCACTTTAGGGGGTTAATCTAACTCTCATATTGGAGTTAAAATCTAACCCCTATTAAGGAGTTAAATAATTTTAACTCCATTTCAGGAGTTAAACCGGCACTCTTGAAGACTTTTCCTCATCTTTTTAATTATTTTTACACATTTTTAATGTTATGAAAACCAAAACCATG